GGGGGAAGTAGAAATACTCCTAGTCGCTTCATGCTACAGAAACCGGGATAAGCTCCAGCCTGATGGGCCACTTGGCTCGCATGCAGACTTTACCTTACCGGAAAAAAGGACGAATTGGCAAAAGTAAAGAAAATGTTAAAAAGAAACCGAACAACTCTTTTCAAATTAACAGTCCGCATTAAAGCCACAAAGAAACACCAGATGAAGAAGTGCTGAAAATAGCTTTGCACGCCCTTTCCAGCGAAACCCGTCAAAGTTCGTCGGATTTTTCACAGACACAATTGAATATATCAGAAATATATTTTGTTTGGTGTTTCAACTTAACAAAGGTCAGTTACTATTGACATTACAGGGAAATAAGTTCGCATCTTGTTTTTTTCATACAAACTAACCAGAATAGTCCATCAGTAACAGATGAAATGTTAGTTTACTGAAGCGTATCCGGCACGGCGTGGTAATCTACAAAGACCTAAGACTAATTTTAGAAATCTGTCCCGAAAGTACACATCAATATTCCAAACTGCACCTATGGATATTCCTACACCAGCCATTACAGGAAAAATGGTTTATGATGATCGAATTCTGTTCACGGATATTCTATTTCTCCCTACCTAAAATATCGTAAGGTATTTTTCCTTGTCCGAATTTTATCATCCGTAATATGGTCACCGCATTTTGTCATTCTCGCATTTTGTCATCCACATTTTTCCATCCGCATTTTGTCATCCGCGTTTTATTATCCGCATTTTGTCATCCTCATTTTATCATCCGCCATCCGCCGCCATCCGGTCCACACTCTACAGTGACCCCTCTGGCACCCAGGGTAATACACCACCCATGCAGAGTCGAATTTTGAGCTTGGGAAGCCTGTGGTCTAACCTGCTGATGTCGAAGGCTATGGCGTGCGTGGCTTCAACCTCGTTCCCAGGGTCTCTCATCTTACCGCCCTCTGGAGTGAGCTCGCTCCAGGGGGCGGTAAGATGAGAGACCCTGGGAACGAGGCTGGCGTGGCTTTCGCTTGGGAGACGTTTCAGTTGATCAGTGATGGGGAAGGTATCGCCGCCGTTGTTTGTTCAGTGTTCCAAGACTTGCTTATGCGGGGAAACTGCGTGGCGATTGACTTGCCACCGCTTATGAGCAAGATAAACTTATGGCGGGCTCCTTTGAACTCGTGATTGCGCTTGTCCCAGGGCTTTTATATATGATATCATCGTGCGTAGCTTTCTAAATTTTATAAATTGACCGACTGATAAAGGTTTTATTTCTTTAGGTAGGGTAGGGTGTTATAACTGAGCGTCTTGAGTAAATTGCACAGTTGATGGAGACTAATAAGTTGAACAGTCGTACAGTTGCCTGAAACGTCCTCAGAATTAGCTTACGTACTATGGCTGTATCCTACAGTTATAACATCACGTAATATTCAACGAACAAAGAAGCATTTATAACCTTGCAAAATCGCTTGCGTGACTTGTCATTTCAGTGTATTATTTAATGCAGTGTTATTCAACTTAACTGACCTTTTTGTAAAAAGAAGAAAATATTTTGGGTCTACTATTAATATTTCAAGAGAAACCATTCAGAAACCATTTTGTTTCAAATACAAAGGAAGAAATTGCTTTTTCCGCAGACGGATAACGCAAGATTACACGTTCTATTGACATTGATCGGCGTTCAAAAATTTGTCCTATTTGACTTGGCAATGAACGTGACAACTATCACAATAAATATTAGCTATCACGAATATAACTAAATTTATCACGAAAGGTCATAAATATGGCGAGTCTCGAGTATGATTGCATGTTCTTTAGCTATTGTGAGGTACTGAGGTTCTTGTTTCTTTGTCGTTGCGTGTCACACTCGGGAACCTTTCAGTTCATTTGTTGTTTGTTTCAGTTCGGCGTTTCGCTTTTTAGTCATGGCGACTTTCCTTTCTAACTCAGCTATGTCTTTCTCTAACGCGTCTGCTTTCTTTTCAGTCTTCCTTCTCTTGACTGTAGCCTGGGCGATCTTTTCTCGGAGTAACACCGCTTTTTCTAAATACTGTTTCTCACTCATCGGAGAGTAGTTCATTGTTATGCTGGTTCCGACTCGCTCCATGGCCCTCAGCTTTTCCTGACACCTGGCTATGTTATCTCGAGCTACAATCTCACGCTTTTCCCCAGCATGAATTTGTTTCTCTTTGGCTAAAATGGCCTTCTGCATTTTAGCAATGCTGTCCACAATGGTTCTAGCTTTCTCTCTATATTGTTCCACGGTTTGTTCCATCGAACCGACGTCCACTTTGTTCTTCTCAAGAAAGCTTTTCATTTTTGAGTTCTCATCAAATCTCTGCTCGGCAAAGTAAATTCGTTCCTTGCAATAAGACTCCTTCGTCTCTGCCTTCTCTATTTTCTTCTCAACCTGTTTTATCTGGTCCAGTATTTTCCTCTTCTCATTCAGTGATCTCTCCTCTCTCAAATTTACTTCAGCTATGGCCTCTTTCGCTCGCTTTTCTCTCAAGGCTTCTGCTCTTGTGCTCTCGGCAATCGCGTCCATTTTAGCCCGAACTGATTTAACCCCCTTAGCAAGGCTTTTCCCAGTTTCTTCACGAACTATGCAGGCCATTTCAAGTTCCTACAGGCGCTTATTTGGATGCAGATATTTTAGCAGACTTCCGTTGTTGAGTCACGATGAACGCGAGGCTAATGAGTTGTCATCCACTTTACACAGTTGAAAAGTTCGCCACAGATCGCTGGCGTTAGCCAATAAAATAACAAGGTTTTGTTTTTCGCTCACGATGAGTAATGCACGTTAGGCAAGTGATGGTATTTCCTGATTATCTGTTTTTAATTTTGTAATGTTTCAGTGAAAAGCGATGATAAAAGCCTAATTTACCATTATAACATACATAAATAGGATACACTCTCTAAGAGTAGCGTTTGGAAATGTTAATTGACGGCTCATAAGAAACCCAGATAGCTTGCTTCAGATCAAAGAAACACAGCAGCAGTAGCAGCAGGCACCCCATGGCCCCAGTTGCCCTGTGAAGGCCAATAAACTGATAGCAAAACACTGCTATCTATCTCTTTCTTCTGAGAAAAAAAAGATAGAAAGAACAGCGGGACTCCGTTATTTGTTTTGCTGTTTTTAGATTTTTCCATTTGTGGTGCTTTGAGGATTAAGAAATTTTAAGACGAAACTGGACTGTTTCAATCTTCTCACTGGTTGTATATTGCCTTACATATCCGAACGGAATATGTGCTTTAATTTTCATGAATTTTGTTTACGATCAAGTCAATAGACCCTCAATAGTCTCAATACGCCCTTTCCGTCAAGAAGTGTGTTTGCTTTGTTAGACCGGCAGATTAATTTACACTAAATAAACAGAGAATACTTGTATTAAAGCTCTGCCGCTTACCTCTGTGAAAACACTGATCATTTATTTTGCCAGGAGAACGTAGTTTAAATCTGCGGCCATCACACTGCCAACTGCTAGTGTTAATATACGACGGTCCAGGCCCCGTCCACATTATACCGGTGTCACAGTGGGGTATCCCCGTGTTTTGAGTATCCCACTGGGGATACCCAAAACACTGAAAGCGTAAAACTGGGGCAAGTGAAATCATCCATAATTCTGCTCAAAACCCATTTGTCTTCCTTCGAAGCTTGTCTCAATAAATTAATTAAAGCGTTCTTTAGCTTTATATAAAAACGATACGTCTCTGAAAATAGTCGCAATTCATAACGGACTGTCTGATCCGAGTCCGCAATTATAACGACATACAAAACCGGATTCATGCGCCAAAGTTCCTTGTATGAACATGCGCTTGGTGTCTATCGATAACCCTTGAAATGCAATAAAATCAATATGCGAGCGAACACACTGTACTGAGATACGGCCGTCACGCAATATGTAGGTCTCAAGCTGTGACTGAACTCTGTGAATGTTGCTTTGTCTTAGACTTGTTTATTTGTCTCTCTTTCCTTGACCATTGCCATTAAGGTTACCGTATACCTTAAGATCGACAATTTTCTTCAAATTTGGGTTTTTGGGTCAAAGTTATGGTCGAAGGGTAAGCTCTAATTTCTAAAAAAAAAAATCTAAATATTGGCGGAGAAATGGAGGTTTTACGTTATGGCCGGAAGTAAACGTTCCCTCGTGATTGACAGCCCTATAACGTGTATGCAATCAACCGAGACGACTTTCGCGGAAAGATTACCTATATATACATACATACATACATACATACATACATACACACACACACACACACACACACACACACACACACATACATACATGCATGCATGCATGCATACATACATATATATAGGTTGAATAAACAGAAGAAGATGCCAACTTTTCTCGTAGGAGGTCTTTAATTCAAGTGGACGTTTCGCCCATTCGGGCTTCTTCAACACTAAGAATATCGATCCTCGGAATCTAGAGCATAGATATTCTTAGTGTTGAAGAAGCCCGAATGGGCGAAACGTCCACTTGAATTAAAGACCTCCTACGAGAAAACTTCGCATCTTCTTCTGTTTATTCAACCTATGATTATTTAAAGAAGAAGCGTTCTGTGTCCACTGGATCCTTTTCTCCAAGGCATCATCGTTGGCAAACCAACATCGTTTACACATCTATCTAGATATATAGTTTAGTGTACGATGTGGCGAAGAGACCAACTCTTGACTGTTCTGGACGAGTTTAATGTACAACGTTTCGGCCGTTCGGCCTTCTTCAGGTT